CCCCCACCTTAAACGTACTCACTAAATACAGCAGCAGTTAAGAGTGAGGTGAAGCAAGCCCCTTCACTGCAGCTCCATGCACCACACAAAAAAATGTCTGGTACAGGGTACCAGGTACAGCACTGGTGAACCCTAAGAATGATCTTCTCTTACTTACTCCCTTTTGGTCTGTGAAATATACCTTTGGAAGTGTTTTGTTGTACTTGTTCAATAAATACAAAACATACTTGTTGATCCTCTTGTTGTTCATCTGTTGATAACCTTCTAGGTTATACTTTTGTTACTGCTTCCCAAGCCCTACTGCATCAAAGCCACGATTTCGATACACTGACTACACTAATGAGGAAGGAGGTTTACCTTGTTCTCAGTCCCTGTCTGCAGTTACAGTGCAGATATAGACTGGCTGGATGTAAACAATACAATATTTACACTACCCTAAACCTGTGATGACAGCTCTCAAAAAACAGAGAGGCAGAGATAAGGTTTTTTTTTCCCACAAAGAAAGAGTTGTTGGGGATCCCTGGATATTTGAAAAAGTTAATTGTTCCAGAAGTACAGTTATCCTAAAAATTTAATTTTTATGGTAAATCTGTAGTGCATAATTATAAAAACTTTTGATTTATTTTTAGTATTTACAGGATTGCAACATTTGATTTACCTCCAATGCCATATCCTGAAAATCATTTCCAGACCAAGAGACAATTTTCCCTAGGTGGAAGATGGGGCAGTAATGGTCCTCTTTAGTGTAGCGACAGGTCTTCAGGAAGGAGTCATCCTGTGCATCACGAATATTTGTTCTGTGAAATATAACAGTTCCAATAAAACACATTCATGTAAACCACCAGGAGCATTACATTATTTGTCCCAGAAAATTGAATACATAAAGAAACAAAATACAAAACTCTGACTAATGTGATGCTGTACGATGGTGCAGTAAGATTGTCATGTTTGTTAATAGTATTTATTTTCTCTGAAGTTCCATTAGGTTGGTAAAAACATTAGAATTTTTAAAAGTCATCTCTGGGCAGAAAATGAACACCTCTCTTCACGCACTTATAATGACTGCTTTCTACCCGTAATGTTTTATTTTTCTGTACAGCTAAATTTGCTTCCGTCATTCTCCCCAACACCATTAACCTACTTCAAAGAAGCCTGCAACTAAAGAAATATAAACAGGGCCTGATTTACTAAAAGAAAAAGGGCTGGGGAGGAATCGCTATGAAGATAATTGGTACGGTTGCTCTACAGGGGCTCGCATGAGCGCGGATATACAACATCCCCCCCGTAGTTGTGATCACCCTATATTCCAATAGGGTGCACTAAGGAATGTGTGTGTGTTGAAGTGCACTTGTGTCCAGACTGCGTATAGTACATTTTTAATGAGCAGCAAAACAGCTATAAAACAAACCACTCCTGACCTCTCTAGCTGTTTTACTGTGAAGTAATTCATCGTCAAAGTTCACACCTAAACTCAGATTTCAGTCCATTTGTCATTTAGAAACATCTCCTGTATGTTTAAACTAGATGGCTGGCAGGCAGCCAAGATTCTGCCCGCCATAGAAAGTAAAATATGATTTTGCTGCCTCTTTTGTAAATTTTGAAAATTATTTTCTCCATAATGCCTATAATTACAAAGGTCAATGAGGGCTTGTTTTATTAATATGCATAATCTGAGCAAACGTAAAGTGACAAAAATATAAAATTGCTGAGAGGTAGAGATTTTTGGCAGAAGAAAAATAAAGTCTCTGCTAACAAAAAAAAACAACTTACTCTCTCTTCCCCAGCAACTTTTTTTGTGTGTGTACACAGTACAGCATATGGGCTGTGCAGTGTACACACTCAGCCCATCCATGGCATCTCTAAGATGCGTTCAGATGTCGGGGAGGATGTAACTCCTGTGGGCATGCGCAGGATTTACATCATCAGTGGCCACCCAATGGCAGAGCTGAGGACCAAAGATCGATCCAACATCGCTGGAAAAGGGCACACTTGTAAGGTAAATGTGCCCTAATTTGCAAGTGTGCTATACATACTTGCACATTAGGGCAAATACAACAAAAATAGAAAGTGTCTTACTTCTGCTTTAAGATTCTACCATAAAATGAAAAAACACAAAAATCTAATGAACATCACAAAAAATGGGCAAGAATAAGGATTTGAGTGACTTTCTCAAGGGCCAAATTGTGATGGCTAGATGGCTGGGACATAGCAACCCCAAAACTGCAGCTCTTGTGGGATGTTTGTGGGCTGCACTGGTCAGGAAAGAAAACCGGTGAACTAGCGACAGGATATCAGTGGGATGTGCTGGAAAAACAAGTCCAAACTATGGAGGCCCCACCTTGCAACTTACAGGAGGTAAGGATCTACTACTGACGGATTGGGGTCGGCATACCTTCACAAGTCTAGTGGAGTCCATGCCTAGAGGTATTAGGGCTGTTTTGACAGCAAAAGGGGGACCTACTCAATATGAGGCAGGTGGTCATAATGATATGGCTGATCATTGTATGGGTGCTTGCAGTGGTCAAAGCCTGCACTTCAGCACATGCACACTATGCTAGGCGTGTTATGTATGTTTTTAGGTACATCAGCATTTAGCTGGCATAGGTTCAGACACTGAAGTGTACACTTGTTAGCAAACCACATCTGTTAGTGAATTTTCCTTATGTACACTATAACCCATATGCACATGGTCATGTGCATTGGGAGTGCATAGTAAGTACTGTGACTGGGTTGTTTGGCATGTTCCACAGGGCATTATTATACACATATTGTTTAGTAAAGCAGTAAGCCATTGCTGACCTCTTCCTGAAATTTCCAGTTGCCTACATCTCATCCTCTGGCTTCACCAATATTGCTAATATACTGGTTGCATATTTTTAGAGTCCTCTGCCATATTACAACTAAGTAAGACCTTTCAATTTAAGTGATCTTACAAAACAAAAAGGTCAAAAACATTAACGCATTGAGATTCAATTTCCTGACTTCTGCAGAAACTTTCACTTTCGTGTAATTAAACATTAATCAAAGCTGAGTATAATTGTTTTAATGCAAACCACATTGTAACATAACGGTTCTATTGTCTTCCACAAAAATACTTACTTTGAAAAATTAAACTTGGGAAATCGGATGGAATTTTTAATGTAGACTGTGAAGTTCTCGGCTTTTCCTAGAAGTGGCGCCCTATGAAAAAATGGAAAAATACAAAGAAAACAGATAAACCTTATTAAATACATTCTATGTGAATTCAAAATATTTGTGTTCAGCACTAATACAGAGCGGGTGTTCTAATTGGAAAGTATAGAGTGCTATTTATGAAAAAAAATGTGCAGGTAACGGGGGTCTGATTTATAAAAGCAAGCTGGAAAAAAAGAAGTGCAATTGCCAATAGCAGCTAATTACAATCTATGCTTAATTTCTGTAAAATGGAAGATGAAACCTTCTACTTCATTTTATTTTCCATAGTTTTTCTAAATCAGTTCTGTGCGTGCTTGAAGTCATTGCTGCCAAAAAAGGTTTGACCAGGTATTAACTTCAAGGGTCCACTTACTTTTTCCTTCAACACTGTGAATGTTTAATGGGTTTGCTCAGTAAAGATATGAGAAATTAGAATTGTTTCAGCTTAAGCACATTGTGGGGAATTTATCAAAACTGGAGCAGGCAGAATCTGGAGCAGGTTGCTCAGGGAAGCTTTGAAAATGAGACAGAAGCTGATTCAGAGCTAGCTCCTTTTGCACCCGAGGCAAGAACAGAAAATTGTGCCCCCCAACAGACGTGTGCGGTATGTGATGTCATGCGCCCGCCTCCAGGATGGTGGAGCGCAGGGCCGGCCTTAGGCCTTTAGGCGCCCTAATTTTTTTTATTTATTAATTTTTTTCACTTTTGGGGGGCTTCGGGGAAAATTCGGGGGAAAATTGAGGACACAGAGTCTTCTGCCCATACAGGTGGGGGAGAGCACCAGGGATCCGGGGAGAAGCTGGAGCCTGTGACACTCCTCTTTTCCCTGCTGAGCCACGGCTGTGTTGGCCGCCTGGCGCCCCTGTTGCCATAGGCGCCTTCTGTCCATGGCAACAGGTGCGAGGGGCCACAGCCAGGCCGGCCCTGGCTGCACCCCCTCTCAGTTGCGCCTGAGACGAGTGCCTCACTCGCCCCATGGTAGCTACAGCCCTGAGCTGATTGGTTGCAGTGCAAATCTGCTCCAGGTTTTGTTTGCTCCCGTTTTGATAAATTCCCCCCATTGTGTTTGTCTATTGTTGTGACTTACTTTATACGACTTAGTGCAGATGAGGCTCAGATCACATTTTATGGCAATTTACTGCAGAAAACCAGTTAATTCAAAGGGATTCATATACTTTTTCTTGCAACTGTATGTGAGAAACTGCTGGAACTTAAAGATGAACTCCAGGCTGAGCAAATATTGTCTGCGCAGTACTCCAGAGTGAAACAAATCCTGTACTTTGCCTTTGTGTAGGAGCTTCCTGTAATAAAGTCCAGTCATTGCTGGGCTCAGGATTTGTGACTGGTCTTGTATCCGCCTACCTGTTGCTCTTTGCAGGCAGCCTGTAGAGGGAGGGTGGGTCCATTCCAACAGCTCTGCTACCTGCACAGGCTACATATATTAGTATAAGAGTAATGTGTATGTGATTATGTAGTTGAGTATAGTGTTGGCCATCAGTTAGTGCAGAAGGTTCGGAGTTTAGGTGATACCCTTTATTGGCTAAGTTAATTTATTTAAAGTGGAATTTGAACCCACAATGTAATGGCCACCTAAAACAGTTACTTTCAAGCCATGCCAACTGTCAAGGATGCCATTGTGCTCATCTCAGTTCTCAACCAAACGTTCAAGCCCACAAATGACTGATGTCATAGCTGATCACATGTGCAGCACCATGGCAATTGCATTCCAAATAGATGCTAAGATGGTACCTTCCTTGTCTGTAAACGATAAGAGGGTGTATTTCCACTTTCAGCTGTTGGGATTCCTTACATTTCTTTCTTCAGACTTTACACATTTATCCAAAGAGAAATATATATATCCTGATTAAGGGATCTAAGAAATCCCAGAAGCTTGCATATGTAATAGCTTAAGTTGGCCAATAAAGGGTGTCTCTTAAACGCCAAACTTTCTGCAAGGGGTTGAAAAGGATTCGGTGCATGCAAAGCGAATGTATATCCTTTATGACTAATGAGGAATATACACTGCCTGGCCACAAAAAGTCACCCCCTGGATTTAGCTAAGCAAATAGGTAAGAGCCTTCCTTTGGATTAGTGTTATAATGTGGAGTTACTTCATTTGGTCAGCTCTAGATTCAGCAACATTATGTCCCAAAACATGAGGTCAGCTGCTTACCTGAATATACTGAATGACATTGTCGGCACAGGTATATTCCAAGAGGACAATGCTGGGATTCATTGGGCTCATATTGTGAAAGAATGTTTCAGGGAGCATGAGACATAGTTTTCACACATGGATTGGCCACCACAGAGTGCAGACCTCAACCCCACTGAGAATCTTTGGGATGTGCTGGAGAAGACTTTAGGCAGTGGTCCGACTCTCCCATCATCACTACAAGATCTTGGTGAAAAATGAATACAACTCTAGACGGAAGTAAATTTTGTGCCATTGCATAAGCTTATTGAAACAATGCCATGGTGAGTGCGTGCCCTAATCAAAGCTCAAGGAAGTCCAACAAAATATTAGTGTGTGACTTTTTTTTTTGCCAGGCAGTGTACATAAATGAAAATTACCTGTATCTGGAGTTCAACTTTAAAGTGTACATCACGGCAAAATACGTTAAAAAAAAAAGCAGTACATTTCTGCAATACATGCACATTCCCCCAATGTTTTGCCTCTTTAAAAATGCTACAAGTACAGAAAAATACCTCTTGCTCTACCATAAATCTAGTATGCTCCTAACTGTCTCTGCTGCACTGAAACACTGCTTGCAATTTCAAGTATACAGACAACAGTGCTTGGGATTTCAGTGCAGCAGAAGCCGTGTTGTCAACTCAATACAGGAACTTAGAAACTCACTGGAATTCTGGCTGGACAATGAGGGATTTGTCTGTACTTGAAGCATTGCACCCACAATAAAACAGTAGATTTAGGTGGACTGACCCTTTAAAAGGATTCACCATATATCCAAAAAACAGTTCAGAAAGAAAAACATAATTTGTTCATGCAAAGCTTACGTCAACCTCTGCTTCTTCTCCAGGGGACACCATGCAAATATTTCACAGGACCCCTTTGTGTTTTCTCCTCCATTCAGGCATCGGCCAGTCTTCACCCCTGCAATTATTATTATTATACAGGATTTATATAGCCCCAACCCCACTTTGTGCAGTGCAAACAGAGGGAGATAATACAGTTAACAATACAATTTCAGTACAGGAATATTTCACCATATTTATTCCCAGATAATTTTTGTACAGGTCACTCTGAATTGAAAAAACTAGCCGGATGACCAACAAAATGTCTTTAAGAAAAAAACAGTTGGTCCATTTGCCTTGATTTATTTTTTACGGATATATCATGACCTGGATGAATGATAACTAGTTATCGCTTCTCGGCCTTTTGGCTAAGATCAAGTGTAGTATCTGTTCTTATCAGTTTTCGGTGGGGAAATGAACCGTCCTTGCGGGGGATGGTTACTTAGTACTCGCTGGAGTGAAAGAGCGTGTGGGGCTGCTTCCTGTGAGAGGAGAAAAGCCTGGTACAGGCTTTCTGACTGAACAGATGCGAAGCTTGGTCTGGCTGGAGGATTGGGGGCGGCAGAATCCCGTGGTGTTGTGCCCCCTGGGGGTGGCGTCCCAGGGGTGCATCAGAAAAATCACTAGGGTGTGGGACCCCACAAGTGATTCACTGTGCACCAGGACACGACACCAAATTGCACTTTTCTGCACTTTGCCTCCGTGACAGGCCTCATGGCTAGTCTTGGGCAATATTTTTGCACTCCGGCCCCTAAGGCCTGTCAGAGAGGTGCACTGGCACTTTAGCTTTATTTAAGCATTATATGCACGATTTGGCACTTTTTTATTTTCAATTTTGACCCACAGATGCGGAGGGTGTAGGCTCCTTCGGGGCCTTTTCCCGATGTGGGGGGGAGATTCTGTGCCCTTATATAGGGTTCACTGTCTCTCCCCAACCTGGGGTGTCTCTCTTCGGGAGAGCCCCCCACCTAGTACTGTGAGGGACCTGTTCCGGCAAGTCCCCAAAGGATCGGGGTCCACCGGCCTTCGGGTTGGTGGACCAACAGACTCAACCCCTGTCAGGAGCCTTGCTCCCCGGGGGGGTCGGGAAAGTAGGTCCCTTCTTTATTGAAGGACCAAGCACCCTTGTGCACGTTTTTGTGTGCTGTGATTTCACGGTTCACTTTTTTTGTTCACAGGGGTTTGTTATCGATGCACATTCCACGGGCTTCAAAAAAAAAAAAATGTCCTGGATGAATGAGAATCTTCACAGACAACCTGAGATCATATACATTTACTGATGATTTTATCCTGACTGTGGTTCTTCCTGAAAGCAAATTTGTGCATTATACAAATTAACAAGACATAGAGCAGAAGCAGGTAGCAGCCAGAATAGAGGGTCAGCCCATAGCTCTTATGTTAGATGTGACCTATGTCCACTGCCCAATGTCTGAGTTTCTGCAGTCAGTTTCTTCTATTGACAGGTGCACTTTAATTTTTGAAATACAGAAATCTATAGTGTTTTTAATAAAGTTACTTTCTTATATTCAGGGCTAAATAGTAACAGCTGAAAAAGAATTTTTTTAGCTGTTAATCAAATATGAAATATTGCATATCAATGTTTTATAGTCACCTATTTATCGTTAGCAGCCAGAAGGTGGTGCACTTTGAAAGTCTCAGATAGCATCTAAAGTCTCACAAAGCAGTTGTTTGACAAAACAGAGACCTGAATGACTCACAGAAGGGTCAAACCCCCTGCAGAGGTGGCTTTTCTTAGGAAATCCAGCATGCTTTGCAAACACAGTGAGAGGTATTTATCAAAACTGGGGCAGACAAAATCTGTAGCAGTTGTGCATGGTGACCAATCAGCTTCTCTGTCTCATTTTCAAATCTTAACTGAACAAACTGAAGAGAGGAGCTGATTGGTTACTATGGGCAACTGCTACAGATTTTGCTTGCTCCAGTTTTGATAAATTCCCCCCAATGCCATGTAAACACACTGCAAATGCTATATATATAAATTAGGATTTTATACTAAATTAAAAGAATATTTAACAGCAGTTTTCAAACTAATAACCTTTCAAAAATAATAAATAAAACTGACCACATTTTTTTAATAATTTCACTTTTAAGTGACAGGAGTTTAATCTTAAAAATACATTCAAATACCTTAATTATTACCAAAAATGTAACAAAAAAGGTAATTAATTCTCAAAGATTCTCAAAAATCACAACAAAGACTTAAAGTGACACTAAACTCAGGAGTTAAATCTTAAAAATGCATTTAAGTACCCTAACTATTAACAAAAATGTAACTTATTTGTGTATCACTCTGCTGTAGATCCCCAAATCATCTCTGAATTGGTGCCGACACTGTGCTTCCTTCTGGAGGGTGACTACTTTTGTTCCCCATGGTCCCTGTGTGTGATGTAATGTAGCCACTGCTCCAAGCTTGCTCCCGTGATTGACTACAAGCTCAATACAAATTGGTAAACAAAACGTGAGATTGTAGTCCATCACAGGAGTGAGATTGGAGTGGTGACTACTTTACAACACACACAGGGACCATGGGGAAAAAAAGTAGCCACCCTCCAGAAGGAAGGACAGTGTCAGCATGAATTCAGAGATGATTGAGGATCTACAGCTAAATGATGCACAAAAAAGATACATTTTGGTAATATGCTTTGATGCCCTAAGGCTCGGTTCACACCTAGGCGTTGTGGGAAACGCACAAAACCGGCGTGCTTTTCACACATTGTTAATGAATTCCAGTATTGTTACTAAGATGTGTATTTTATATGCACACCGAGTTCACCTTTGATACATTCATGAGATACATAAAAAGAAAAAAAACTTGTGCATTGCATTTAAACAGTTTTCCCTGTTTTATTATTCTTTAAATTACTCATCTTCCTGCTATATTTTAGTTTGTCTCATTCTCTGCTTTACTGTGTCATTAATGAATGGAATCTCCTCTCTTCTACACTTTTAGTAATATAATTTGTGCAATTAACAAAAGCAAGAGTATTAGCAAGTTTTGTTAATGTGATCACATTATACCATGGCCGGCACTGACTGGTTCACCCTCCGGGCAGTCACTGTTCTTTGTACACACTGCATCAGGGATTCCAGCAATCTGCACAAAAACAAGAGAGGAAGGTGATTTACTTCATGTTGCTGGCTCTTGATGGTGACAAAACATAAAGGGTAAGTTCACATTTCATTTTTTTTATTAAACTGATTAACATTACAGCTAACAGTGTATGTTGGATGCGCAGTCCCAGCTCCTCATGAACAAGCACTCCGCTAGGAGAACTCAGTTTACCTAACCACACATGTGCAGTCCACCTTCTCTCTCATTCCCAGAATGCTGAGCTCAGGTGATGCTGCAAGAGAACGCAGACTGAGCACATGTGGCTTGGTTCACCTAGCCGAGTTCTCTTTCATAAGGAGCTTAGGCCGCGAATCTAATGTTGGTCCATCCTTCCATGTGGGCAGGTTAGAGAGAGGGAGCCCACAGCACAGGACCAGCATTAATATATAATCAGTGAAGCTAAAAAAATCAAACTTCTCACTTCACTAATAAGCTAGATGTCTGTTTCTATTAAATATGAGACTGGCTACTGTAGCTTGACTACATTATGAGATGAAATCCTGGGACAAATATGCCTTATCTAAAATCACCTGGAATCCAGCCTGCCCAATCCAGGAATAAAAGAACTCAGACAGTTTTGTATTGATTCTGTTTAGTTTGGCCTGTCAGATACTTGCCAGTTTCAGATTGTTTGGGTTTGTAGTCAGATAAGGTTTATAACTAACATTATACATTTTTAGAATTTACAGCAGGCTTGGAAATCTGCTTCCTACCTCGGGTGTAGGCAGAGCTCCCGAACCCATCTCCTCTTACAGACCACCAAACAATAGGGAGCAAACACCACACAAAAGGTTAATTGAAGACAACTTTATTTCACATGGAAAATTCCAATGATCACCCAACTTGGAATCCTTACCCTTTGACATGTTTTGCCCAACAACGGCTTAATTGGAGAGGTTTACAATTAAGCCCTTGCTGTTTGTTTTAACTGAACCTAGTGTGTGGTGTTTGCTGAACAGTGTGATCTTATAGAAAAAAATCACCAGTCTCTTGCACTAAAGCCATTTGCTTTAAAAAAAACAACTATTTTTGCTTAGAAACCTTAAGTTTTAATGCCAGCAAGGACCTTTTGGAGGTTTAACACAGAACCTCTATTTTTTTTATTTCTGACTGTATCCCCTCACTTACTTTCCCAGTAATGTTTGATGCTTGATGTATCTCCAACCAAAACCTTTTTCTTTAGTTCTGTTTAGTGTGGGAAAGGGTAGAACCTCTTAAAGTTTGGGTGTTTTTTTTGCTGTCTGCCCTCATCAGTGAGATTTGCCCTTATTTTCTATCCAGATGATGTCCCATTGCAACAAGACAGACAGAGTGTCACTGAACCAAGCAGTAAGGGAAATGTTCCACATGGTGGCACAGACAGCACTGAAAACTACCAGAGCACCTAACCCTTCCTCACAATATTAAAAAGGTGTTTTCATTGTCCATTTGTGCCTGGAAATATTTTTTATTTATGTGTTTCCTGATGCCAAGAGGACAGGATCTGAGATGAAATCCCCCAACACACACAAAGGTGGCAATAACAACCATAGAGAGGTTAAATACCTGGAGTTAGGTTGTAAATAATATATCACAGTATATACTATTTATTAAGTGAGCACACCCTTCTTCCAGCCTGAATGCTGTTGTGACCACCAACTAAAGTGTTTGTCCAGCAAAAATGTATTTCTTAGTTTTGGATACAGTGGTGAAAGATTAGAACCCCTGTCCAGGTTTTAGTGCAATCTGGGGCTTTGCTAGAGAGATTTTCCCTCTTTTCCATCCCACTGATATTTTTCAGGGCAGGAAATTTGTAAAACCCTACAACAGCAATACAGAGAAATAAAAATGCATTTCTTTAGTGGAGTAGGAGAATGCTAGTACCCCAGTCAGATGTTATATTACTGTCTGTGTCCCTGTTGCAGATTTTCACTCACTTCATGTCTAGTGAAAACATTGTCAGCAGGACAGGAAGTGATGGTAAATCTCTCCAACGCCGCCCGTTAGCAATAAAAACTTGGCAGTTCTGATACTTGCGCATTCAATCCAAAACTAGAAAAAAGTTTTTGGCTTGACATAAACTTTAAAGTTTATGAGAATGTACCTACCGCTGCACTAAATGGACTTACGTATATCAGGCTGTTCAAGTGGCTTGCTTTTGTTCATTATTTAACTGTGTATATACGTCTTCCTTACCTCACTGCATTTACCTTGCCTCTGATTCGGGGTGACAATCAGGTTTGTTACCACGAAAAAAACATTTTCACCCTGAAGGTAGAGTAAAAAACAAAAAGGAAAATCAGTTTTGTCTTGTGCAGAGATATATTGTACATGAAGTGAAGAGATCTACTGACCTGTGGCGGTATGACATAATCCACCACATCCCAGAGTCTTGGCCCCAGTTCTGTAGTGTTGGTGAAGGCAACTCCCTTTAACTTGGTAATGACAGAACTCTGTATGGATGTGTCGGTGTCTTGATAACCTTTTTTAATCACAAACACCCACCTGTGCAAGCAAAATGGGACATCAGATAAGCATGTCACTCATTTCTTATTTGGCTTCTAAATGAAGACATCTTTTTAAACAGATGCCCACAAACCATTTCTTGAACAAGTCTTTATAAATATATGTATCTTCCAGATATAAAAATAATGTGGCCAGTAATCTGAAATATATATCTAACAGTGGAAGCAACACAACAGCTGTAGATTTGTATAGTGTAACATATTGTAGTAAACAATAAGTGGCAATGCAACACACAAGTATTTTCCTTATTTGCTACCTTTTGGTTTGTGTAATATACAATTGGAAGTATTTTGTTATATCTGTTTAAGGCCTGGTTCACACCTGAACGTTTTGTATATGCGCGTCACACGCGCGTTTTCCCCCCGCCAGTTTGCGCGTTTTCGTATTTTAAAAACGCGCGACGCACGCGCGTTTTGGAGTGACAACAGAGGTGTCCAATGAAAAAGAATTCCGGTCTTTCCGCAAGCGTCCAATGAAAGACTCTGGAGACGCAGCATTTCCTTTTCCTGTATCCAAAAGACCGTGTGGTGTCTTTGTCTTTTGTGCAGAGGAGAGATTCAATTTCTGAGTGCTTTCTATGGATCTGGCTACACGAAGACGGACTGCAGCAGTCGTTGCAGCAGTGCGCTTGATGCAATTGAGGAGAAGGAGAGAGAGTATGCGACGGTTCTGGGTTCATCCGGTCATAGCGAACCGTGAAAAAAGAGGCCAGTTTTGGGCCATGTATGAGACGCTTCATGGACATGAGGAGAAGTTTTTCAGCTATACCCTCATGTCCAAAAATAGGTTAGTACATAAACAATTGTTAGTGATTATTGTTGTTCTGTCTAATTGCTAGTATTGACCACAAACCTTTATATATATTACAGTTTTGATGAGCTACTGGGATTGCTGTCGGTCCAGTTGGAGCGTCAGGACACCTTCATGCGTGACAGCATTCCACCCCGCGAAAGATTAGTTATTACCTTGCGGTAAGTTCACTACATCACTCCTTTGTAGAATAAAAGACCAATGAAAAGAAGCATAAATCTGATCTGTGACAGTACTGTCATTACCCCCTCCTTATAAATGATAATCTGTTTACAAGAGTTATATATGAAATTGTATATTAATGCTATATTAATGCTCTGTGTGTTTATTTTTTTTTTCGGTTGTCCTATTTGCGGTTGCAGATTCAAATTACTGCTTCCGCTATATTGATGTTGGATCATACGGCAGCAGCTCAGATTCTGCGGTATTTGCCCACTCACAATTTGGACTGAGGTTGAGACGCGGGGATCTTGACCTCCCGTGGAACACCGCGCTGCCTGGCAATGCGCAACCTGCAATGCTCTTTGTATTCGTAGGAGACTAAGCATTTGCTCTGGGTGAGCATTTAATGAGGCCCTACTCCGGTCATGGGCTAAGCCTGGAGAAGAGGGTCTTCAATTATAGGCTCACCCGAGCACGCAGGGTTGTGGAGTGTGCCTTTGGCATACTCTCCAATAAATGGCGCTTCCTGCACTCGCCAATTAACCTCAAAATCGAAAACGCCATCTCTGCGATGAAAGCAGCTTGTGCCCTTCACAATTTTGTGCGTTGCAGAGATGGGTTCAATTTTGACGATTCATTGACGCATTGCATGGAGAGTAGCTATTGCATCGCCAGCCGTGCAACAACGAATGGTGGCAGCATTCGTGACGGATTTGCTGCATACTTCATGTCACCTGAGGGGGAGGTGTCATGGCAGATGCAAGCGATTGAGTCTTGATTCCCCTCCAAAAATTAAAAATCATTTTCCCTTGATCTGATACCAATAAAATATATTTGAATAGAAAACAGACTGGAGTATTGTTTTTTATAAATAGATGCACGCAAGTCACATGCAAACACTACACGCAATTCAAATGTCACATTAAAATACTGCACGCATGGGACATAAAAAACACTGCACGCATGGGACCTATAAAAAATAGCACGCATGGGACATAAAAAACACTGCACGCATGTCGCATTAAAATACTGCATGCATGGGACATAAAAAACACTGCACGCATGTCACAATAAAATACTGCACGCATGGGACATAAAAAACAGTGCACATATGGGACCTATAAAAAACTGCACGCACGGAACATAAAAAAACACTGCACGCATGTCACATTAAAATACTGCACGCATGGGACATACAAGACACTGCACGCATGTCACATTACAATACTGCACACATGTCACATTACAATACTGCACGCATGGGACCTATAAAATACTGCACGCATGTCACATTTACATACTGCACGCATGTCACATTACAACAGTGCACGCATGTCACATTACAACAGTGCATGCATTCTGCAATAAAATACACATAAAAACATTGCTGACATGTACCTTTTGATCCTTTAACTTGTTTGGAGTATGTTTCCCAATCAGGCCATGTAGCTTCACAAATATCTTCCCAGGCACGTTGCCTGATTCTCCGGTTTTTGTTGTCTGCATGTCTCATGTCGTAGAGACAGGGTTTTGCATGCACCAGGCGTATGAATGCCTCTGAATCAAGTAGGCCACATCTACTGGAATCCTCCATCTTGCTCTTCTTCTTGCTCACACAACAAGTTGCAGAGGGGAGTGGTCTGTTGCCATGTGTGGAACGGGCGTTCTATGCGCGATTTCTGCTACAAAAACGCGCAAAAACTAATTTTGTACGTTCCCATGGAAGTTTATGGCCGCGAACGCGCTACAAAACGGCCCAATACGCCGCAAAGAAGCTCCGGTACCTTTTCAGGCGTGGGCCGTTTTGTAGCGCGTTAGGGACGGGCGGAAATACAGAAAGGTGGGAACGAGACCATTGACTACAATGCAATGTAGATTTTTGAGCGTTTTGTAGAGCGTTCGTCGAGCGTAGAACGCGCTACAAAACGGTCAGGTGTGAACCAAGCCTAATAAGTGCAAAAAATACCTGTTGTGTCAAAAATTAAAAGCTGTCCTGTGTCCTCTGCACACTTCCTGTGTTATCTCAAGAGTGTAATTAGCCCCCCTTGTTCTTATCGTAAACAATTATTGTCTATGTTGTGGAGAATAGGATAAGGGGAAAGGTTTGAGTAATTTAGAAAGGATAACAGTACACAAAAATGTAATGTGCTGTTAGCCCACAATGAGCTAAGTGCATTTCTTGAAGATCAATTAGGTATTTGTCTGTACTTTCAGGGTTTTTGAAGGGTTAAAGCCTAGGGGAAAGTACATGTATTGCAGAATTCACTGCATATATTTAATTTTTTCCCTGATATACACTTTAAAACAAGCAATCCCTGACCTTTCTAGCTGCATGTACTGCAAGGTAATTCATTCTCAAAGACTCTCAAAAATCAAAAGTGACACTAAACTTAGGAGTTAAATCTTAAAAATGGATTTAAGTACCCTAACTATTAACAAAAATCATCTCTGAATTCATGCTGACACTCTCCTTCCTTCTGGAGGGTTTTTACTTTTGTTTTCCATGGTCCCTGTGTGTGTTGTAAAGTAGCCATCATTCCCAGCTCAGTCTCGTGATGTACTACAATCTCAATACAAATTGGTAAACTAAACGTGAGATTGTAGTCTATCACGGGAGTAGCTTTGGAGCGATGGCTACTTTACAACACAGACAGGGACCATGGGGAACAAAAGTAGCCACCCTCCAGAAGGAAGGACAGTGTCGGCACCAATTTAGAGATGATTTGAGGATCTACAGCCGAGTGATACACAAATAAGATACAGTTGTGCCAATGAGTTGTGATTCATTGGGTTTCTAAAAACTAGGAAACATCTGTTGTGTGTTTACTTTAGAGGCCTGGTAAGTTCCTGAGATTCTGGTGCAATAGAAAGTTACAGGAAAAGAGTGTTAAGATTTTAGAGATTGTGTCATGAAATCTGAAGATAAAATTCTCCACAGTGCCAATAACTACAGAGGTATGTGAGGACTTGTTTTAAACAACTTTTACTGCGTGTTCAGACAATTTACGTGTACATTGTCTGGGCACAAGTTCCATTTAAACACATGTTGTTCCTGTAGGTGATCTATAAATATCCAAAGCCATGGTTCAGCTCATTCAACATTCTCAACATGGCAGAAAAGACATCATACGCCAGGGTCATTGTAAAAAAACAAGTAGAGCCTCATTTAACAAACTGCCTTTCAATGTACACTCCAGTCAAGCACGATTCTGCATGAAACCTCACTGAAGGTATAAAGTCAACCTAATGAATGATCTTTTATACTTTACTGGCTGCTGTTATGAATGGCAGAAAGTCAACACTACTCATAACCCTAAAAACATAATCCCCACAGTGAAGCATGGCAGTGGTAAGCATCATGTTATGTGGATGCTTTGTATTTGCTGGGACTGGGAAACTGGTGATGAGTGAGGTAAGATGGATGGAGCTAAAGGCAATAACGATTTATTGAGGAAAACCTGTTTCATTCTGCAAATCTGAGGCTGGGGTCTAGGTTTAGCTTTTAGTGAGATAACGATCCTTAATGTCAAAGCCCAGACATCAATGCAATTGACAATCTGTAGCAAGATCACTAAAGGTTTCCATCCAATGTGACAGAGATAGAGTAATTTTGCAAAAGCCAACGTGAATATTTAAGGAATCAACACATTTCTTTTTTGCATCTTCAAAATTGTAATACATAAAAAAATCAGGTTGTAAAATTTCAATTGAATGCATTTTTAACTCCAGATTCTAACACTACAAAATGTGAAAAAGTCCAACAGAGAGTAAATACTTGTGAAAATCGCTGCATAGCTAGAACCTGTACATAGTGACTGAGAATGCAGAGTGGAAATTAGAATAGTCAGTTACTGAACAAAGAGAATAGGAAATATCTATGCCAAAAAAGGTAATAAGCTCAGTTTAATAATTTCCTTTACACCACAAGAAAATATTAATACACCTTAATATATGACTTGGTCACAGCCCAGGAGATGTCACAATTAAATATCGTCCTGGCATTAGAA